ATAATAATAATAATAATAATAATAATAATAATAAGTTATAATAATAATAAAAATAATCACTGGCATTCGTAATATGTATCTCCTCCCTCGCATACATTACTTCTATTCTCCGTCCCTTCTCCACCTTCCTCTTACAGTCTTACTTTTTGCCACCCATCCTTTACCCTTTCAATCACCAACTCTTCCTCACTCTCTTATCCTCCTTCAATCTATTTTTTTAATCATAAAATTTCACACTTTTGTTCTCATATCTTTTGTTACATTATATACAAAGAGTGTATAAATCTGTAGTGGAGGGAAGGCGGGGTAGGGGTCGACCTAGGTAAGGTTGGAGGGAGTGGGTATAGGAGGTTTTGTGTTCGAGGGGCTTGGACTTCCAGCAAGCATGCGTGAGCGTATTTGATGGGAACGATGGAGACAAATGGTTTTTAATACTTGAAGTGCTGTTGGAGTGTGAGCAAAGTAACATTTATGAAGGGATTCAGGGAAACAGGCAGGCCGGACTTGAGTCCTGGAGATGGGAAGTACAGTATCTACACTCTGAAAGAGGGGTGTTTATATTGCAGTTTTAAAACTGTAGTGTAAAGCACCCCTCTGGCAAGACAGTGATGGAGTGAATGATTATGAAAGTTTTTCTTTTTAGGGCCTCCCTGCCTTGGTGGGAATCGGCCGATGTGTTAATAAAATAAATAAAAAATAAATATGGATATGTAATATATATATATATATATATATATATATATATATATATATATTATATATATATATATATATATATATATATATATATATATGTATATATATATATATATATATTATATATATATATATATATATATATATATAATATATATATATATATATATATATATATATACATATATATATTTGTATATATATACATATATATATACATATATATATATATAATATATATATATATATATATATATATATATAAATATATATATATATTATATAATATATATATATATATATATATATATATATATATAATAAAATTATATAAATATATATATATTATATATATAATATATATATATATATATATATATATATATATATATATATATATATATATATATATATAATATATATATATATATATATATATATATATATATATATATATATATATATATATATATATATATATATATATATATATATATATATATATATATATATATATATATATACATATATATATATATATATATATAATATATATATATATATATATATATATATATATATATATATAATTCAGGCCAGACTGTCCTGTCAGATAAGATGAAGAGGCTGGACAAAGTCAACTGATAAGGTTTTCAGAATCCCCTTAAATTATATTATTAGTCTGTCACAGAGTGACAGACTGATAATACTTGCTGAAATAAAAGCAATATGTAGATTTACAGTTTTTAACCCCATTTGGCCATTTTCTACTAAGGAAGAGTGACATAAAGAATGAAAATCATTCTCTGTCATTGTGATCGCTTGACAGTGTGATTACAGCGATGGTAGACGGGAGCGGACATTACGTTGAAATTAATTACTAATTGGTAAAGGCACTTGTAGATAGACATCTGTGTGTGTGTGTGTGTGTGTGTGTGTGTATTCACCTACTTGTACTCACCTATTTGTGGTTGCAGGGGTCGATTCATGGCTCCTGGCCCCACCTCTTCATTGGTTGTCACTAGGTCCACTCTCTCCCTGTGTGTGTGTGTGTGTGTGTGTGTTTCCTGGAGATAAAGACGTTTTGCTAAGAGTAACGAAGAATAGATACATCACACAACAAGCTTCTAGTAGACAACGTTTCGATCTCCGTGGAGCTTTTTAAAGCTCTGTAGAGGATAACGTTGCCGCATAAAAAGCTCGTCTTGCACCTGTGTATTTTGTACAAAAATTGACACAGATGCACCATAAAGCACTCCATTACTGACAACGTTTCGCCCACTCAGTGAGCTTCAACGAGTCACAAACACCTGTGACTCAAAAGAAGCCCAGAGTGTGAGCATCAAAACCTCGTCAGTGAAGAATCACATTATACTCCATCGTTTCGGTATTTTTATACCAACTTTCTCCATCTGTGACGTTTCTTCCTTATTTATAAACATTTCATCATAACAAGGGAAGCGAGGAGGAAGAGAAAGGGGCCCAGGAGCTAAGATTCGTTCGTCTGGAAAAGATTGCATTGTCTTTCTCTATTTCCTTTTCTATACATCTGTCTGTCTGTCTGTCTGTCTGTCTGTCTGTCTCTCTCTCTCTCTCTCTCTCTCTCTCTCTCTCTCTCTCTCTCTCTCTCTCTCTCTCTCTCTCTCTCTCGTAGAATAAATTTCTATCTGGAAGAATATGTTGCAACACAAACCCACTAATTGCAACGTAAAATTGAATCTTCAATTTCCTTTCATCTGTCAGCCATTATTCTCTTTATTAAAATATGCTTATTTATTTGTGTTTGGTGCTTTGCCTCTATTTTATTTATTTTACTCTTTATCTTTCCACGTCATTAGGTACATTATTCTTTTTTTTTTGTGTGTCTTTTTTTTTTAATTTCTCCTCTTCACTTTTTTTTCTGATGTTCTCACTCTTCTTTCATTTTTCTATTGACCTCTGTGTTATTATTCCTTCTTTTATCCTCTCTGTTATTGTGTCTTCTCTTGCCTACTTCGTTGTATCTCATTCTCATTTTGTTACATCTCATTCATTCTCTTCACTGTATTATCTCTCATTCTCTTGACAACTTTATAATGTCTCATTCTCTTGACCTTCCTGTTATCTCTCCTGTTTACCTCTTCTCTAATAACTCGCTCTTAAGTGAGGGGATTTGAGACGACGTTTTGCTCAATCCTGGACCATTAAGTCGAAACTTGCGGCTTTACAATAGCTGATCAGGAAGGATTTGAAATTTTACCTGTAGCCATGCTGAAAAATTTCCACCAATAGAGAAAATTTATTAGGCCACGATGAAGTCCGTAATAGGCTATGAAAAAAAATAAAATTCCTTTGAACTGGTAAATTGGGTTGGCCAATCCTATTCCGTTTTTCACGCGTTTGCTCTTAAAAAGGAGACTTATTTTTATTGATAATTTCAAAATGATGTTAACACCCCAAATAAAATTTCTACGCAATGCAATTTCCTGGTGTTGTCTTTTTTGTTAGGTTCACCGGCGATGCGGGGTTTCAGGGAAATGAAATCGACAATGCCTCAGCGCGTTCTGCTGGGTAGCACCTCTTCCATCTTTCACGAACGTCTGCCATTCTCTGATTACTTTCCAGTGTTAAATCAGCTCTTGCTAGATGAGGGGCAGCGTCCTAGCTGGTTGGAATCATTTTAATAGCACGTACAATACCGACAAGTTGATGAATAAGATACATGAACAGCAAAGTTTCAGATGCTGCTTCAGATGCTGAGACACATGTGCAACATCTGGGTATCTTTATTAAATGACCTTCACGGCTACTACAATTTACCCATCCCTTTGGGTATGATATACTTCCACTGGAGAATCCTGCCTACCAATGACTATGGCTTCTTTAGTCGGATATCTCCTGTATCCGACTAAAAAAGCTTGATGTGTAGGCGAATCGTTTCTGTGAGAAACGATACCTATGTGCTGCACAAGTTTGTTAGTCATTAGTAAGTTGGTAGACGGCAGCAATCGTCTAGGGAAGTGCTGCCATTCAGGGAGGTTTCGCCATTCAGGGAAGTACTACCCTCCAAGGAATTACTAGCATCCAGGGAAGTGAAATGGAGGAGTGTAAAAAAAAAAAAACGCTCTGGCAGCATTACTAGTCTTTCTCTCTCATAAAACTTGAAGGATGGCAAGTAAATCTTATGATCTTTTTCTTACACTCAGTATAAGTTTAAATTTACTTTCACTGTGTGTTTCTTTATAGTTCGGATTCCAATAATATAATATTTTCTTTTGCTCTAATGCCCATAAATCTAGATTTCTATTATCACAGTGGCGCACTAAGTCTCTTTTTTTTTTTTACCCTTCTATGAAATATTTGTGAAGCAGAAGATCGACATGTGGAAAAGATAGACACAATTAACACGGCATTCTTGTTGTGTATTTTGGTGGAGAGTTTTGTTCAGGACACTGGAGACCAAGGCAGAGGTTGAGAGATTCTACTTGATGAACATAATAAAAAAGTGCAATAAACCATACCACTGGCGGGGTTAGAACCCGCGATCAGAGAGTCTCAAAACTCCGGACCGTCGCGTTAGCCACTGGACCAGCTAGCCACACTAAGATTTATCCAGCTAGGTATATTTATACCTAGCTGGATGAATCTTATTGTGGCTAACGCGATGGTCTAGAGTTTTAAGACTCTCTGATCGCGGGTTCTAACACCGCCCGTGGTATGGTTTGTTTGCAGTCGTGTCATTACGATTTCGTGAGTCATGTGCAACAGTTGGGTTTCTTTATCGTTGAAAGATTTCGCCTACACAGTAGGTTTCTTCAGTCTAATACAGAGGCAACAGGAGTAGTAGCGAAGTAAAGATGATGTAGTCAGTCTATCAACCTTTGAGAAATAATATTTGAGGTGGTCAGTCCCTGATCCTGGAGAAGAGCTCAGCTCCATGAAACGATATCATTCAAGACCCGGCTCAGGGACTGACCACCTCAAATACCATTTCCTCAAGGATGATGGACTGATTGCATTTCACTACTATACCTGTACAGAGACACTCCCCATCCTGTGCTACACTCTTCTTTTACTTACACCTGTGTATGGGACAGGTGGCTCCGTAGACAGCAATTAATGAAGTCGTCTATTCTACAGGCGAAACGTCTCGATAAATTCTTTTAGTACAATGTGTCTTTCTTTTTCATATATATGTGGACTGCTATAGTCCCTTGATAGTCTGGCAGCCCGACCTCCGGCCTGGCTTTTTATTTGACTGTTTGATCACATAGGGATATTAATTAAAAATGTATATGCAGCTAACACTTTTGTTTCTCTTGCAGGGCATTCACTCGCATATTGTGCTCGTGCTGTCCACGTCGCTGTCGCAAGCGCTACCAGACCAGGTGGAAAGGTGGAATAGCGCAGGTAAACTTTCTTAATGAGTGCAAAATTTTGAGTGTAACTTTTTTTCAGCTTTAGAGAAGTTGAAGTTAAAAAGTAAGGGAATTTACAGATTTTAATAAGGCAGTCTTTATGAAAATTGTCAACGTATAAACAGTTTAGATAAAAAAAAATGCGAAAACTTTACGGAATATTTATACAGTAGAAGAACCTTCTACAATAAAAATTATATTATATATACTCATCATAATATATCAAAATAACACTAAAACCCACATGGAGACAGAAGAAAATGCAGGGTGAAATTGGTGCTATACATCTCGCCTCCAAGTGAGGCCCTTTTCAACAACATTGTTGAAAGAAAATATTGGAAAATGCTGAAATATACATCTCCCATTTCATTTTGATTCCTTCTGTATCAATGTGAGTTATAGTGTTGTAGTGATCAATATTTATTTCACTAATATTATCATAATATACCAAGATATATAACAAATTAAAATGGCTCTGTTTCTTACGATATATATATATATATATATATATATATATATATATATATATATATATATATATATATATATATATATATATAATATATATATATATATATGTCGTGCCGAATAGGCAGAACTTGCGATCTTGGCTTAAATAGCAACGCTCATCTTGCCATATAGGACAAGTGAAAATTTGTGTATGCAATTATTTCGCCAAAATCATTTTGAACCTAACGAAATAAATATATTTCACTGTGTTTGTTTAGTACTAAATTATTGTAAACGTATTGAAAATATATTTAGTTAGGTTAGGCTAAAATAAATTGCTCTTGTTATAATAAGGTTAGGTAAGTTTTCTAAGATTCCTTTGGTGCAAAATTAAAAATTTTTGCATTAACATTAATGAAAAAAATATATCTTTAAACCTATAAGAGAAAATTTCAGAAAGGACTTAATTTTAAATATATATATATATAAATCAGTCTTATAGAATCAATTTATTATAATATAACCCCTTGTGAATATTTCTCGAACAGTTATAAAATCTCTCGTCAATTCCAATGTTTTTATTCAAATGGATTATGACTATTAACCTGACTGGCACTTCCAATTTCGCTTTTTGAATGGGTATAACTGGTGTCTTTTATCAGCGGTGGCTTGAACTGCCTTGCCACATCTGACAAAAAAAAAGATGAAAAATTGCAGTAGTTAATTGATCATATTATAAAGTAAGACTTTCTTATCACATATTGCTTCCTGAGCCCAAAACCCCAGTACCTGCCAAATTTACAAATGACTTACACTTAGGGAAGGAAACTTCAGGCTCTATGCAAATATATATATATATATATATATATATATATATATATATAATATATATATATATATATATATATATATATATATATATATATATATATATATATATATATATATATACTATATATATATATATATATATATATATATATATATATATATATATATTTATGTTGTTCCTTGATAATGTGAGTAGTCACGAAAGCGCTTGGAATTTCATTATTCTTTCACAGTGGTTGTTTATATATATATATATATATATATATATATATATATATATATATATATATATATATATATATATATATATATATATATATACATATATATATATATATATATATATATATATATATATATATATATATATATATATATATATATATATATATATAAGTAATTTAACAGATATGGTAGTGATGACCGTTTAGATACGATCCAGTCATTCATTTTTAATAAAAGATTATTTTTCAATGCTGTAATATTGCATTACTGTTCTTTGATCCAGGACAGTCAACCAAAGTGATGTTTCAAAATAAATTGTTTTGATATGTTCCTCATGATCCGATAAACTTATTCACAAGTATTAAAATAGGTACATACTTTTAAATTTTGCACCAAAACTAATTTAATAGTTTGTCCTAACTTTGCTATAATTTGTTCTAATATAGTTGAAAATTTGTGTAATGTAACATACGTAGCTTAATCCTTTTTTAACATAATTATGGTCGATTTGGTACTTTTGTTGTTGTTTTAAACATTACTTAAATCTAGTAGTTTGCGATGTTCCGACTGACTATCGCAGGAATTAATTTTAGCTCGGCTTGCTTGGCAAAGTCATCGTTGATAACTAAGCCAAAGCTGCAAGTTTTGGCTATAAAGCGTAATATACTGTTTGCACCTCCATGTTCTGATGCTGCAACTACCATTGTTGTGTTCCCATAAGATATCTTCATTTGTCTTTCAGTTTGACCCCTACGAGGACTTCTGACCCCGTTCCCCTTCACTCACTCCATCCCTAACCTGACCTTATCATCACCTGACCTCATCCTAAACGTTTGCGTTTTGTATGGCGGCAGCAGAAAAACGTCAACAGTTGCACCTGCTCTTCCCTTGCTGCTTATCTCAAAATTAACCTTATATTCCTTCAATTATTGGGCTGTATATGTGGATATATTCACGGTTATTCAGTACATGTCATTATTGAGATAACGTTTCGCTCTAAACAGAACTTTTTCACGCGAAACCTTGTCCCAGGAAATATATACTCAGCATGCTGGTGTTTTTATCCACATATCTGTCAGCGTCGCGCCCTTCACATAATGGGCTTTTTAATCATCTCATATGTGTTCAATGTTTATCTAATTTAACTTCTTGTGTATGTCTAACTTCCTTATAAATCAGTTTTTACCTTGTTTTCGTTTCAACACTTTGCAGTTTTTTTAATTGTGTGTATTTGTTTAGATTAAATTAAAAATCCCATGAAATTATCCATAAATTCCCTCATCTTGAAATTAAATAATAAGAATAAAACTTCTATACAGAAAATTCCTATTTTTTATTGGAATGGTCGTTTCCTGTGGTGTTATTTGCACCTCTCATTATATTAATCAGTTTGGATACTAAAATCACTTTTGAAATCTAAATGGATTAATCTGTGTGCGTGTGTGTGTTTGTATGATTGTACCCCATATTGAATGTAGGATGTGTTAGCTCCATTTTTTTCACAATCTTGAAGATCCCCTTTCCCAATCCTAACCTGTCGACGAATGCTTGGCTTCTGCTTCTCCTTCCTCCGTCTGCCGCCTCTGGTGATCGCTTCCCGGTGACTCTTTCCTGCAGGCAACCTGCTTTCCTGGTGACCCTATCTGTGTCACGGTTGGTCCTTGGTGGTATGTCCCTCTCATGTTACACTACTGATGTATGTTTGTGTTGTGTTGTGATGCCTGATCCAGCTTCCAACTATAATTGTCTTGTGTTGCGATGCATGATCCAGTTTTGAACTATAATTGTGTTTTGATGCTTGATGTAGCTTTCATCTATAATTGTTTTGTGTTTTGATGCATGATCCAGTTTTCATCTATAATTGTCTTGTGATCCACGATCCAGCTTTCAACTATAATTGTGTTTTGATGCCTGATCCAGCTTTCATCTATAATTGTGTTGTGCTGTGATGCATGATCCAGCCTCCATCTATAATTGTGTTGCGTTGTGATGCATGCTCCAGTTTTCATCCATAATTGTGTTTTCATGTGATGCATGATCCAGTTTCTAGTTAAAATCTTGACTGTAATAATGAGCCTTATACAAGTATGAATACAAGTATTCATACTCTCGAATAACTTTGAATGTTATTGAGGTTCCTTATACTCGAAACTAATTAATGTTCAGGTATTCTTATTACTCAATAATGTATTTATGATCCTGATACATCCAGGTGTAATTTAAAGACTCACTGAAGCTTTAATTTATCATTTCAATTTAGTATAAGCATTTACTCATTACATAATGCAGAAATAATCACTGTTTCATAATTTTCCATAATTCATTTAAAACTAATCCTGAGTAACCTTTTGTGAAGTTCAATGTCTCTCCTCTAAAAACATTATTTTAAATGCAGCTGATATAATATTTTTTCAAACAATTTTTACACAACAGACATTAGAGTAACATTTTTAATGTTCATTGCATTACTGATCCCGTAATAGACAAATAAAATTAATTTATTGTAGTCTTCAAAACATAAACAGTAGGAATTCTTTGCTACTAGACTTTAAATTAACAAATACATTAATTCAGGCTTAAGTGTGTCTGTCTTCTATTCTCTGTTGTTCACTGTTATCAGTTTTTCAGTGCGTGAAAGTTACTAATATTTCTCATCCAATTTTCACTTAAGGTAACTTGGTTCATTGCAACTCTGTTGCGTCATCTTTGCAACTTAGCTGAATCATTCTCTTCAACTTTGCGATTTCATTCTTTGCAAAGTTGCTGCTTCATTCATTGCAACTTTGCTGCTTCATTTTTTGTAAGTTTTCTGCTACATCCATTACATTAATATAATATTAACTGCTTAAATAATCGCACTTTTACCTCAAGAATAGAGAGTTTGAGAGAGAAGAAAGTCAGTTTAGCATGTTTATTCTCTCATAAACTCTTTACTCCTGTGAAATCTGTAATCTGTTCTTCCTAATCTCAACATTTCTCTCCGTTCCTTAGAGATCAAACTTACTCTTCGCCAAACCAAACACCCTTCGCAGTAATTTAGTTCGCACCTCTCTTTCACCTCAGGGTTCCACAGTTTCATTAGCCATTAGTCATTAGTCATTAGTCATTTAGTCATTAGTCATTTAGTCACTTTCATTAGACATTTACTAGCTCTTTGATCCTGAAAGTCATAATTGCAATGGTCCATAAACTCTGGGTAAAATATTTCGGACATTCATGATGCTATTGTTTCTGCAACTCTTATCAGCATGTTGCCAGACATTGCTACCCTTGTTTCAGCATGTTCCAGATATTACTGATAGCAGTGCTCCAGCCACTCTTATCAGCATGTTGCCAGACATTGCTACCCTTGTTTCAGCATGTTCCAGATATTACTGATAGCAGTGCTCCAGCCACTCTTATCAGCATGTTGCCAGACATTGCTACCCTTGTTTCAGCATGTTCCAGATATTACTGATAGCAGTGCTCCAGCCACTCTTATCAGCA